CAATTTTAAGACCACTTAAGCTTCTTAGGTTTTCTGTGACACCTTTATTATGAGTGGGAGCTAGTTTTTTTACAGTTTTGATTCATGTTTTCCCTTACAAATAGAATTTTCGCTTCGCCAGCTTACGAAGATATCACATCACAGGCCTTTGGTAGAGACCTCTGGGGACAAGAAACTGTATGATCTTAACTTTAACCTGTACTGGCCACAGCGACATAATTTCGAGACCGCCATGTTTTGCTTTATTTAAAACAAATGCAAATAGGAACCAGCTCATGATAAAATGAATGAATTTCAGAATCTGGTGATAGGGCATGTGATGAACATACCGCGCTGGCAGATGGAACTGAGCCAGAGGTTGCAGTTGGGCGTGGTCACCAGCTGGAAAGCAGGCTCTAAGATGATGTAGGTGCACAAGTGGAAGGGGTCAGTGGGTTTCCAGTGATTCTCATTCTCCCCTGACCCATTGACCCAGGAGGGCCAATCAAGAGAACCTGAATCAGACATTAAAAGCAAATTGAAACGAATTAAGAGTTTCAGCATCACAAGCTCTTTGAAGAAATTTGGAATTGCCCATTCATATTCATTACATATCATTTAGCCAGGTCTTGACACTTCTGCACTACGCATGATCACATATTCTTTAAATATTCACATATTCTTTAAATACACATCTCCTCAACAACATGTTCTTCCAGATCCACCAGCAATTCTTCACATTACCCTTCCCATAATGCCACAGCTGAAATGGCACTGAATGGACGTGGCATTCAGATTCCCACTGCCTACACTACACTGCAAGCTAGCAGACCTCCAGGTGCAGTATCCCGAGTCCATCTCAAAATGCACACTTCCAGATATTTACAGTGCTCAGGCTTTTGATGGGATCAGAGGAAACAAATCCCCACAGCAGAGTCATCATCAAGCCCTGAGACAAGTGTGTCGATACCAAAACAGGAAAGTTCTGAGACGAAAGTCAGAACGTCTTTTTACCTCTAAGGATTTCAATATGTGTTCTGCACTTCTGCTTCAAAACACGTACACATTGCAGATATGCCTGAGCATTTCGGAGTCTAGCTGAAGTCAACGAGTGCCCAAATCTGCAAGTAAAACATCATCATGTACTTACAGCCATGAACACTATTTAAGATGGGCTTAACACAGAATTCAGTTAACACTGTTCCACAGCTGAAGAGTAAAACCATGGGAGACTAATGTTGTATAACAGCATTGCCATCTTGTAGCTTTATGTTGTCACATCTCAGAAGCTCCCTAAGACTGGACCTGGTCAGTACTGGGATAATGGACAGCCAGAGAAATTCACCTTGTTGCTGCAAGTGCTGTAAGAGGACCAATAGTTGGCAAGTCTACCTCTGGACCAGAATTTCTAAACTACCACCTCTTTATAATGAATAGGACTATGTGACATTAAACCGAGGTCCTGACTGCAAATGTGTAACTGCTTACCAGACTTAGGGGTGTTTAACCTGGTGTCTTCTCAGTGTGAGCTCTCTGGTGTATAATTATTAATCATATCTATTATTAGGCCACATGCACATACAAAACCGAATATCCTAGACAGGATCATACTTAACTTTTTAAAGACAAATCTAGCACGCCCATCCACAGACACAAACAGGCAGCACAACCACAAGGGAAAAACAAAAACTATGCAAATGATTCCTTGATTCTTTTTTCAGGTACAGCAAATGAAGATGGTAAGCATGGAAATCCTATGGAAATGATCAAGAGTCATTGATTGAGCTCCACTCTCCACTCTGCATGCAAATGCATGGGCCTGTATGTTTGTGGTACAGTGGCTTGTATGGTCTCCTTGAAAGTTATCCCCCATTTCAGTGGTAAAACACAGTATGCAAGTAACAATGCCAAACCTGTTTTAGCTGTCACCTACAGCTATATGAATGTAAACAGGAGGTTGACCTTATTAGACATCATTAGGTTCTAACATATGTTGAAGGTGGCCTAGAACTATGCCCTACTATGAGAAATCTGGGGGCCTTGTTTGATACTAACCTCTATTTTGATGCACAAATAAAAGCAGACTGTAAAGTTTTACCTCAGAAACATTGCTCACATTCAGTCTTTTCGTGATTACACTGCTAAATCACCAAATCTCGTCTGAATTACTACAGTGGTCTCCCTACCTGCTCACTAAACAAACGTTAAATGGCCCAAAACTCGGCTGCTCCACTTCCAACATGTTAAAGGCTCTGTGAGCACATTACTCATTACCCAGCACTTTCAGTTGCAAATTTTACTTTTAACTTTTAAAGCCCTGCACAACAAATCCCCACAATACTTGGCACCTCTCATTACTCCCTAAGGACCAAGTAGGGCTTTGCCTTCTGCTGGGGCACACCTGTTATTAGTGCCTTCCTATAGGTATACTGTACGTCTCAGGCTGCTTTCAGCAACTCTGGAACTCTCCCTGAATGTCTAAGAAATGCAAACTGTTTTATAGTTCTTAAATTTAGACTAAAAACATATCTGTCCTAGTCCGGCTTTTAATTGTTATTTGTCTTTTCTCCTTTTTATCTCTATCTCTTTATTTATAATGTTATATTGCTATACATCATTTTGCTTATTTATACTCTGTTAATTGCCACAAACACTGTTGGAGTAAATGGGCAGTGAAATAAATCCCTGTAATCCTTCTTGACCGAGCACTGTCAGAAATTATGGGCGTAGTATACATAGCTTTATAAATATTGTTTCTGCACTGGTAATATAGATTTTAACTCACTAATATGTTTATTCCCTTCAGAACCCTGAGATGAGATTGTGATTCCTATTTTCATCTGAATCCTAAATGCTTTAATTAACGTGTGGTTGATTTTCAGCTAATCAAGTCATCTGAATGAGCCTGGCGGATAATGACACAACATCTCTCAACCTTTGGTTTAATTAAATCTTCACCAAAAAAGATGCAAGACCTGCTGCAAAGCTGGAGCAATCAGGACAGAAAGAAATGAGCTGGCTTTGCTTTTTCAACAGAAATGTGACCTAGCCTCACCCTGCTCTCCTCAACCCCTCAGCACAGGCAAATGGAATCAAACCATAAGGCAGTGAATAGAACACAGAAACCATAATTGAGACACTTCATCACAAGGTGTTTTTTTTTTCAGCTCCACACATCTACAGTATGTGTAACCTCCACAGACTAATGAGCTAAATGGCTTAATATTCATCTCAGTCAAAAGAGGTAGATGGCACTCATCAGCATCTCTACTCACCGTCAGAGTTATTTGTGGAGGGTCCACTTCTGTGTTTGCCTACTGGGACCTGTCCAATCCACCAGGCCTGATGTGTCTCCATCTGCTCCAGTACAAAATCCTTTGTCTCCCAGTCCATGCTGTGCAGTAGGCTCCCTCCATCTCCATTGCAGTGCTTCTGGGCTAGTGTCCAGGGCTTGGGCTGCCTGACGAACTCATAACACAATCCCCGAAACTTCTGCTGCCCAGCAGGACAATCACCTTCAGAAGCTCGCCCCCCTGAAATGAGTAAAAAGCCAGAGACCAGAGCGGCCCAGGCCTCGAATGCCCTGCTCAGGGTTCCCATTCTCATGCTCTGCCTATGGTACAAAATGCTGGCGCTATCCACAGTACCTGCAGAGCACGACTGTCACAGCCTCCTCCCATCCCAGGAAAATCAGGGACATCACTCACAAAACCCAGAGAGTCTATCATCACAGAGATCCCCTTCATTAGGGAAATTCCAGAACCTCCATAGTCAGCATGCAAATCCTCAAGTTTGCTTTACATAGCTTTTGGCCAACAAATGACATCAAAAAAACTTAAAAGACTCCATTGTAAACTTGGTTTATTGAGACAATATACAAGATTATATCATGCACAGCAGTCGAAAGAAAGAAGAGTGGAAGAGTAGTCTTTATTTTTAATTTAATTAACTTATTGCTTGATGCTTGTCTCTCTTATTTTAATTTCTGTCTCTTTTTGCTATATACCGTATTCTAAATTATTTGCTGTCATAAGTACTTACTCTACTAGCACAAAAATACAGTGAAGTGAATTAATAAATGGTTTACATAAACAGTACAAAGATTTTTTTTTTGTCATACTATCATAGTGATGGGATTCAGAGCCTTATCCAGTGTGATGTACTCCTCCTTTAGTAATTTTTAAAAAACTTTATAGGTCAGTTTCAATGTGGCAGATGACAATCAGATCAATAGAGGCAAGTAATATGGGGTCTCTTTCTTAAGGTCTTCCCTGTGAACGCATGGTACACATTGCTTTGACAAAGCACATTACAGAATTGGGACAAATCATATTTTCAGCTTCTGTCTTGCACAGAATTGTTTTTCAAGTATAAACCACCTTGATTTACTCAGCTGTGAGTTATGCGCAGGGGCGTATTCGTTACAAAATAACTTTAACACAGTAAAAAACAAACAAACAAACAAACAAACAAACAAACAAACAAAGCTGTTGATCCTTGCTTTCGTCTTCTCTAACTGATAAAATAATCATTTTCCTTTCCCCAAGAACGGATCACCACTTAAACCCGTCCATGGGAGGGACGGGACTCTTAAGGCACAGAGCTAGACTGTGCAATGCGGTTTTTACATACACAAAAGCCGGCAACAAACAAGCGTGCTGGACTGAGGCACGGTGGCAGGTGTAAAGCACTATTCAGTTTTTGATTCACAGAATTATGACTATAACGGGGATTTATTATATATTAGCTATCATCATTTGAATGTATTATATTAGAGCTCGTCTCACCACCCACAGATGCGGGTGTGAGTCACTGCATGAACGAATGTCTCGTCTCGTGTATCGCGAGGTTTTCATCAGGAAGTTTTCACTCCAGTCCTTGAATGAGCACTTTTGTTGGAGCGGAATAGATTTGAAGTGTTGTTGACCACACTATATAACGATCCGGATGGCTGCGCAACTTTTGAAGGTAACAAGAAATGCGGTGCTCCGTGCAGTCGTATCATTATATTTGAGAAAGCAAGGAGTGTCCGGTCGAAGTGCTTGTAAAGTAATGTTCTTGAATAATGGTGGGGTTTTTTTGTCCTCGCTGACAAGATCTATTTTACCAAAGCATGTGAAAAGTGATTGATTAGTCTGCAATGAGCAGTTTGCACTGCACTCATCGCTTTCAGGAAAGTGCGAGACTGAAAAATGTCGAGGTGTACTTATTTTATGCTGTAATGTACCGAGGGCTTATGCTGACCTAGTACTACTACTGGTAGTAGCGATCAATTTCGTGAAGAAGTAATTACGCTTTGATGACACTTTAAAAGGTCAAATTTGCAGGGTGAATTCGAATGGAAAAAAAAGCACAATTTACTGCACTACTCAGTCTGCTTGTGTAATTTTGTGTGCCAATCAGAAAAGAGCAAAGGTAGCCCGGAACTGAGCGTGCACGACCACGTGGAAGGCACAGGAGCAGAAATATAGCGGACTTTTCAGCAAAGTTGTGCTAAAAATATTCCTTGACAGGAGAAGAACACGGGAAGCCCGTCTCTACTAAGCGTCTATAACTTAGGAACTCCACAGCTAGATCAGTGAGCAGCAGCCTTGAACGACTTCTGATCGAAACTAATTCCATTCCTGTGGCTTTAAGCAATAGGAGTTTGGGATAGGGAGGCTGTTACTGTATGTCATCACCTTGGAAAACACGCAGAACACTGTTTTGGATTGATAAATCCTACATTGCAGAAAGTGTAAGATGAAATTGTGTTTTCCAGATAGAACAAGCAGTTCTTGGTTTACAGTAGAAATGCGTTTGTGAAAACTTAAAATGAAAAATGATTTGTGTAAGTAGGGGTTGCGATCAGGGTTTACTTCAAACTGTAGGGCTAAAATTCCAAAAATGTCAACTTTTTCATGGAAGATATTGCATACCTTCTAAAAATCATATTAAATTAAGTCTTTGTTAATGTTTATTGGTTTCATGAACCCGATTACGTGAAATAAATGTGATGACTGATGTTAAGCATGGGGAGTGAATGGTATAGAAAATGTGTACACAAGTGTCCAAAAACGCACGTCTTGGCCTTTTAATTCTGTTCAAAGTGTAATAACATGACAAATATTTTTCTTATTTAGTTTTAGCTGATCATAAATTGTATACTGCTTTTGTAACTGAATGGTGGAATTTTTTTATGGAATTGATATTAATGTTTATCTACATATTCTTTGCATTGATTTTCATTAAAACATTTTTACACAGTAGCTAACTTTTAGAAATACATTGCTTTTATGTTAGATTTTATATAATATAAACATAAGTTAAAGTACCGTGACTGGTAAGGTATTGTACCGACTTAGTAAGGGGGAATGAGAGATGAAGGGTGGCTGAAAGAAGACATAAAAAGCAGAGTGTGCTGTTCATCCCGGTGTGTAAGTAGGTATACAAAGTGTTTATTATCTCAAGCAATCCGATACGTGGCCTGTGTTAACTTGAAACCCCAGTTAAATGGAGAAGTGATTCACCCTAAATCAGCCTTAGAAGTGGTATACGTTTCTGAGGCGTGCTAAACCAAAAAAATGTTCAAATAAAAAGCATGTCAATTCAAGGATCTCAACCAGCAGTGTCTTGAAAGAAAGCAGGATATCCGTTTCAACAACATGGCTGGATAGGTTGTTCCAATACTCCTACAGCTCTTTGGGTAATGAAGTGTTTGTTCCTTTTTGTCGTCAGTTTTTAATGCACACCCTTTTATGGCCATGACTAGTGAAAGTACCATGTCGTATGGACATAGATTTGAGTATCTTCAGTATACGAATGATCATTTAGACCATGTGATTTTAAGATTGGATCAAGCGGGAACATATAGTAAATGCTGAATAGCAGGGGGCCCGGTATGGTGGGAAAAACCAGATTTGTTGAACCCAACTTAAAACTAAAATGTATGTGTTTTAAGTGCTTGAAATGTTATATTTGAACTGAAGATGGTGAAGCTTGAGGCTATATTTTCTATTGTCTCTAGTGTTTAGCTGAAAAAATATAGTCTTATAGTGTAAATTGAGTTTTTTTTCCGACTAAATGCTACAAGCATGTATGTTTTACAGATTTCATTCTTCGTAGGATTTATTTTGCCTTATTTAGTCCCTGCCTGGCCCTGTCAAAGCCTTTGTCACTTTCTTTAAACTTTCATGGATACGCAACAGTTTGAAGCGGTCATAAATTGCGGATTTTGTAAGGTGTCTCTTCTCTCCACCCTGTTTTTATTGGAACTGATGGGGGGGGGGGCTTTTTCACTGGAGGTGAGCAAAACCCCATTGAAACGGACTGTGGTGTTGTAGCTGACCAAATAAGAGGTGTGAGGTCAAGGCACTCATCTGAGAGCCTCTTCTCGTTTGCATGACACCTTTCAGCTGCTTCATTTGCAAATTTGTATTTCAAATGTCCTTGGGGTTTCCTGTTTGAACTATTCTAATAGTAATCTTATAGAAATGTTCAATAACCAGCATGACTTTGGGCAGTCAGTAGTAGAGAGTGCCATGAATGTTGTGATTATGCCTTATCTATTCTATAAGCACATGACCCATCTGTTTCTTCCTTTTAAATGTGGTTGCCAGGGTGTCGGATCGGTGTGCCGAGTGTTTTTGTGCTGTCTGTGTGTTGTGAGAGATTGAAAACACCTGTGGAGACTCGGCCAATGTTTCTTCATTGAAATATTAAACGTTGAAATGTAGCAATATAGTTTCTCGTGTTTTAAAAGAAGGCATCTTGGTCTTTGTTTGCTACTTCCAATGGATCCCAGGGTGAATGAGTCATACTTCGCGTTTAATCAACGTGAAAGTAAAGGCAGTGGTGTAGAGAAGACTGTACTGTTGAAAGTGACACGCTGTGTCCGTGTGAGTTATTCTCTTTAGATTAATTTTCATCGTCAACAATTGCGAGTCAAGCCAAGCTTATTTTTTGTTTTTTTTAAATCTTTTTACAGGTTTAGTTTCCACTTTCTTCATCCTGTCTGTGAACACTCTATAGAATGGTGTGAGGCTCAGATTGGATATTTGATCAGTTTTGATGTACTGGATATATTGATTTAAATTTAAACACTAAAAAAATAATAGAGAAATAGCCCCTGGGTGGCATGTTTTATAACCATAAATTAAAAAAAATGCTACAATGTAATCGGAAAGTTGAAAGATATATGAAAACATATTACTGTTGGAATTACAGATCACAGGAAGCTGTCAAAGTCTTTAAGACTTGAATAAACTGTATTTTGATCTGCAGAAGCGCCTGAAAGAGGCGGTAAAAGTGATTGGCTCAGGCGGGCTCCTGTTCGTCTCTTACCTCACCGCCGTGGGCGACGAGCGCTTCTACGCCAACCACCTGATGCCCACGCTGCAGAGGATTGTGGGAGCGGAGACTGCCCATGTCTTAGCGGTGCGCCTCCTGGCGCTGGGGCTCGTACCAAGGTGCCAGCACCAGGACTCTGCTGCACTGGTGAGTCTGGGAGGGGACTGGCAAAGAGAGGCACCCGGCCAGCTGGTTGTCCTTTCCCTCCCTCAGGGCTAAACAGAATTAGCATTCACGCAAGGTCAGGGACAGTGATTAGCGATCATTAGCTAATGACTCAGAAAAACACCGACATCAGCTGCTTCATCCTTTGGCCATTTTGTGGCAAGCATGCTTCACTGCCACGGGATCTTGTAATAATTGGGCTTCGGGTTAGGAAACATTTATATTTGAAATCCCGTTAAAGCACTTGAAGCTCAAAACGCGTTTCGTGCGATCCCAGGTCGACAGAATGGAAAGGGACGAGGGCGTGGGCCTCTTCTTTTTGTGTAGGAGTTTTTATTCTTTCTTTTTTTAATGGCTTCTCCTGTAGTTGAGAGCAGAAACACATTATGCAGCAAACGAATATATTGGCAGGAATGAAGAATAACAGATTCATTGTCAGTATATAAACTTTGTAATCAGCTTCACTAATGACAGCATGCCGCTTTGATTGGAGAGTGTTAAGGTCAAGGTAGCCATGCAGCAGTCGAGGAGACGTTAAAAGCAAGGCAAGCAGCACAGATTGAGTACACCCCAGCAGTACTTCACATACTTGCATTAGAGGAAGGCTTGTACTGTATAGTGGACAATAGGAGTTTGAAAGAGAGCTAGAGAGCTGAGTGTTGGAAATTGAAATACCATTGATATATGGGATATGAAATGGCAACTTAAGCAAAAAGATTAAACTTATATCACTGGTGAGCGAGGATGTCCAATGGAAATACAAAGATGCGAAATGAGGATATGCAGGTCCTTTTTAGGAGAAACTGAGGAGGCTCTGCTCCGCCCGGTCCCATCAGCGTCTCTCCCCTCAGGAGGTGCACGTCCTGGGCCAGCGGTTCCGGAACCCCGTGGGGATAGCGGCGGGCTTCGATAAGCACGGGGAGGCTGTGGACGGGCTGTACGGACTGGGCTTCGGCTTCGTGGAGGTGGGGACGGTCACCCCTCAGCCGCAGGAGGGGAACCCCAAGCCACGCGTGTTCAGGCTGGCTGCCGACCAGGCAGTCATCAACAGGTACCACCACAGGAGCTCCAGGACCCTTGTCCGAAACTGGGGGGGGTGCAGTTTCCCAGAATTGGGAATACAGGGCTTGGGAATGCCACAGCCCTTCCACCCTGCACCTTGCAGGTTTTCCTCTTTAAAGCCCCGGCACCTGAAGAGATAGCACAGGCTGTTAAACTGCAAGCATTACAGCTGGGTGTTCAGGTCCTTCATAGATTAGTTGAACAGAGGTACCAGTCCTAAAAGACCACGAGAAGCCAGCCTTGCCTTAAGGGCTGAGCTTCAGAGTGCTCACCAGGCTAAACATGTGCACATCTGGAGTGCTGGAGAGCTGATAGAGCAGCAGTAATAAACCTTTGACTTTAAAGTCTCTAACACTGTCATGTCCATCTCACAAATGGCCACAGGTACAGGTCTGTGGCCTTACCAGGCCAAGGCACAAATCTGTATATAAACATAATTAATTAAAATACAACCAAGAACTTGATGTAGATTTAAGCACTTTTGCTTCTCATTTGGGCATCTTTATGCATTGAGGAGAATTTGTAGCTATTTCAGAGAAATTGAACTATGGGTGTATGAGACCCAAAAAGCAGAGAAGTATTCATTCAAATTAAACAAAATATTACCCGCGTTGCCATATTCAAAATTGCATGCATTTATAGGTGTTCTCATCTGTGCATTTGTGAAATGACTGAGCAGGTTAATTAAAAAATTTAAGTCTCAATTGAATATTATTGACTCTGATCTGCTTAGTTTAAGTGTAATATACCACAGACTTTCAAATTACAACTCTTACAGTTGTGCACTGATTATGACAGAAAACTTATTACATTGATCACTCGGGTACCTTTGAATCCAAATTGCCATGTACATTTCCATGTAGTTTAAATGAGCACGGCATGACCATAGCTTGGGGCTTAATCGTAGTAGATTTTTATTAAATGTATTTTAACAGAACCTGTTTGATAATAAATTGCTTGCAAATCTAGAATTCCAACCATGGCTTTGGTTTGAGGGATATGTGGAGTACTTCAAAACACAGGCCAATATTTTCTGCCATGCAAATTGAGAGTTTGGGTTTTCGCTGCTTGTTTCTGTTGTGGTTTTGAATAGCAAATGTCACCTTCGTTTGAGCTGAGGATAGAACCGACATGCAATTATTTTAGTCTTCGTATAAACAACATGTAACCCTTTTGCCACACTAGTTTGCTAAACATCCTCACAGTAGTGGTTCAAGCTAAAAATAAAGAAAAAATATCGAGAGGAACACATGCCTAACAAAAGCAAGTGAATAGGGGAGAGAACTGGAAGTATTGTTAAAATTATTAAAACAATGAGTATTATTTTATGAAAAAAGTTTGCCATGTCTTATCATTTGAGAGGAAATTCCATTTACAAGTGCACAATTTGTATGGTTTTATTAGAGACAGTAGTGAAATCTTTCTTGTCTATAACACCTTAGTCACAAGCTTACTACATATCGTCTTTTAAAGGTATGGTTTTAACAGCTGTGGTCATGCAGCAGTCCAAGAGAGGCTAAAAGCAAGGAAAGCATCACAGATTGAGCTGACAAAAGGTAACATTACATCCCTTCTGGGCTGTCCTCCTGCAACAATAAATGTAATAGGAACAGAAGATCAAAATACAGTAACGCAGTTGAAGAATGATAATTTTTTATATACATTTAATCCCGGCCGTCTCTCTTACTTGCTGGGATAGACTCCAGCTCCACCATGACCCTGAAGTTAGTGAAGCATTTAGAAAATTTATGGATGGAAGGATAAATGTAACCAGGAATCTGGAGTATTGACTAATATTCTGGATTCTAGCCAGTATCATATGTTGCATAGTTAAATATTAAGCTGAGAGAATAGTCTTTAGTCTTAAGTACACGAAACGCATCACCTTTCATTTGTGGGGTCGTCCCTGTCTTCTCAAGCTGGCCAGCCTCTCGGGATCAATCTGGGCAAGAATAAACTGTCCCGCGATGCGGCTTCGGATTATTTGGAGGGTGTTCGGACGCTGGGTCCTCTGGCTGATTACCTGGTGGTGAATGTGAGCAGCCCCAACACCCCTGGGCTGAGGGACCTGCAGGGCAAGGCAGAACTGCGACACCTGCTGGACAGAGTAAGGAAGTGTCAGGCCTCAGCTGTACTTCACTTTACTTGCTTGTCACTCCTGTCAGCTGTGACAGCTGATCAAAATACAGGAGTGCAGGAAATGAGTCTCAAACGTGTTCGTTTGTCTTCTATAAAGGCAAATGGCAAAGGCAGGTTATCTTTCGCTTGATCTGGATAATAAAACTGTTTAAGGGTATACATACAGTATATGCTGTTATACCAAATTGTGTTTTCAGGTTTACGTTAGAGATTTAACCTGTTAAACCTGTTAAATAATGTTAGTAAATACAAATATTTTCCTGCTAACAAAGATCTTACTTCTGTGATTTTTCATGTAAAGACACAACACATTTTGTATCCTGAGAGAGGCATGTAACACAAACAGCAAGGGCTTTTATTGCTGTCTAAGTTCTGTGGTTCAACCGTAGCACGAAAGCATTTTGACAAATTTAAGGAACATATGCGGGAGGCCTTTGTTGTTGGATATCCGTATTCCCACTACATATTCCCGGCAATCAGTAACTCTTTAGTGCGAGGTGGAGTAGCGGTTGTGAGCCCTGAGCGTCTCTCCAGGTCCTGAAGGTGCGAGACGCCCTGCAGCGTGAGCCCAGGCCTCCTGTGCTGGTGAAGATCGCTCCTGACCTCAGCCCTCAGGACAAGCAGGACATCGCCGAGGTCATCACTGAGGTAAGAGCACGTGCTGGTACTGGGCCACTGGGGCGGTTCTACTGGGCAAGTGATCCTCTACACTGTACCGGTAAGACAGGAGCATCATCACTTATATACAGTACATTAAATCATTCACATCAGGACGCTCAGTTGTGGAATATTCCAAAGGTATTGAATCCAATGAATTCCTTTTTGTTTTCACATCTACGAAGGAGAAATGGATATGCAAATGATGTTCTTGTTCCCAGAATCAAATTTAAATGCAGCACAAAAATAAGCAATCACCACCTGTCTGGAGCATTGCTTCTTACTATGATAACAAAGCTCCTTTTCACCATCTGTAGAAGTATATACATATTCACTATATACTGTATAAGCTGATTCCAAGTGTTGGTTATTTTCAAATATTAAACACTGCTAGTAAGGCAAGTACGTTCACAGTTTGTGTTTCATTTTGGACGAATTCTGCATGAAGGCAATGGGTCTTTTTCCTTTTTTGTCTTGCAGCTGTTGCTCCCCACCACAATTTAACATGTTTCTCATAATAATTGTACTTAAGTTTGATTGATTGATGTAATGGGAGAACATCTCCTTTTCTGTAATATTTCTGATCTACAGATATAAGACAGTGATGGTAATAAAAATCATGGGCTCCTCATTCATCGATAGGGAAAAAAGGCTATATTTTAGCATGCGGGTCTGCTTAGGGGCCTTGGCTTTTTGCCTGAGTGTGTGTGTGTTTGTTTGTTTCAGCTAGGGGTAGATGGGCTGATTGTCACCAACACGACCGTCTCTCGACCTGCGACGCTGCAGGACCCCCAGCGAGAGGAGACGGGGGGACTTAGCGGCACGCCCCTCCGCGAGATGTCAACACAGATGGTGTCTGAGATGTACCGCCTGACCGCAGGTAGGCAGTCTTCAGAGGTGGCACAGCCCAGCTGAGAATTTATTAAAGGAACGCTGCAGATCTTATAGGGGAAATCCTGTGCACAACTAAAATCGGAACTATACCACATAGCAGTTCAAAACGCATTCATTTTGCAATGATAGTGTGCTCCAGCACACTTTCATAATCTCACACTGCCAATCTAACATGCCAGTCCTACAATTACAACCCTCTGAGCCATGTAAACATGGCATTCACATGTACCACACCTGTTACTCATGTGGTTTGATGCATGCATCCATTAGCACACTAAAAGATCCATCAGGACATTGTAACATAGTAGGTTTTGTTGATGCTGGCATTATAAATGTATGCATTCATCTTGTAAAAGTAGCGCTACAAAGCCGTTGCTTATAATTACTCAGCCTTTGGACTTGGTGAAGTGCCTGTTAAAATCTGGATTAGATTTGATATATTTTGTTTCTGAAAGTGGAATTATGGACCAGGCCCTGGGTTGCTTTGTGCTGTCAAAGGAGTGACACTTGCACGCTCGTGTCTCTTGCTTTCTCCCACCAGGAAAGGTTCCCATAATAGGCGTCGGAGGTGTGAGCAGCGGGCAGGATGCTCTCGATAAAATCCGTGCCGGAGCCTCACTGGTCCAGCTGTACACCGCGTTCGCCTTCCAGGGTCCTCCGATAGTCGGCAAGATCAAACGGGAACTCGAACAGCTGTTGAAGTAAGAGAGGGCCAAGTCCGCATGAGTGATGCTGAAGTACATGAAAGACGTCCAGAAGTCGTGGGCTGTTGCATTCTATCTGGCTCCTCCTGCAGTGACGTTTATATGTTTTTCTACTTTCCAGAGAACAAGGCTTCACAAACGTCTCTGAAGCTGTGGGAGCTGATCACAGGGCCACAAATGGAAAATCACCCATCACTCAACATCCATTGAGAGTCAATGTGCACGTGGCCTCCAAACCAACAGTGCAACAGGTGGCTTCCACTTTATAGACTTATGAAGATGGACATGGACTTTCCATTTCTCATTTAAACATAAAATCTGCACAAGCTGGTTTGGTGTAGGTATGGCATGATGCCAGCAACTTGAGCACGCCGGAAGCTTAAGAAATGCAAATTTTCAAGATTCTGGTGTAAGTGATTGTCGCTCTAGAGTGCTGTGAAAGAGGTACTGCACGATAATGAAATGCATAACAGTGAAGACAGAAGCAGGTTTTCAGTGAAGGTGTTGGAAACAGTATTGGCAAAGTAATTGTTGCTTCATATGTTGTTTGTGAAGGATCATCAACAATGAGCTTCCAAGACTTTAAAAAGTGTTAATTTTAAGATTGTTTAGACAATATTGAGGGTTGGATGAGTTTCTTAGCAAAATGTACTGTATTTTGAAAGATGCAGTAACTGCTGTGCTTAGTCCATTCAGTCAATAATGAGTGAAGTGTAGCAATGAGTCAATAAGGTTTAAGAGGTGGTTCAGCCTTTAATATAGCAGTTACAGGCTGAGGAGTAAGTGCGTATCCTAAATACTCTTTCTTGACTAATGTATTTTCTCAACTGATAAAAACAATTGGAATTAAACTTGTGCAAAATGTGCAATGTCTGTGTTTTGCAATCTAAAATATGTGGATGCATGGTATATTTCGGGTTACACTTTTGTGATGAGCCATTGTGAGAAAAATTAAATTGCATTGCAGTTACCATTTATCAAATCCCTGCAGATGAATATAGAAAGCCAAATTAATTTATACAGCAATGAAACATGTACAAAAAATGCTGGTCTCACCCAAAAACAAGGATGTTATCTTAATTATTCACATACTGTAGCCCCTTTGGCATTTAAGTCTTTGGATGATATGCTTATGTAGAAAAAAAAAGTAATTTCAGAATACTGCTTTACATATTCCATAGATAGGAGTGAAAATAAAAAAAGAATGGATCTACAGTAGAGCTGAGTTTGAAATAGAAGCCTGTGATATGTTGAGATAATTTATTTCTCCTTTCAGCAAGGACTGTGTTAGCATTTCTCTCTATATTGCTTCCCAGTCTTTTGACTGAATGAGTACAAACCAGCTGACTTAGTGATAACTGTGCAGGCACACTAATTTTAATGCGGTTATCCTCTCATGTACTCTGTTGTATGTATGGTTGTCCTAGAGATCAGTATCTGGGCATAGTTTCCATGTACAAATGTTCAGCTGTCTCACTTTAAATGTGTTCAGGCCAGATCATTGATTTAATATTTAAATAAAAACTGTTTGTCTTGGTTTTAAATTGTTGAAACAAGAAATGTTATATTAAGTGTCTTGGGTGTGATCCATACAATTGAAATGCGTAATAGAGTGTGGACAAAACTACAGCAAACAGTGATCTTCATACAGTGTCTCCCACATTATTCAAAACCCTTATGAAGTAGAAACAAAAACATTTAAGTTAGATAGATTATGTGTCTTAAAAAGTGATACCATGATCATAACAACAATCGTATTTGTCATGGTTAATTGAATTCTACAAAATGAGGGTCACTTTTATTCATCCCTTGAGGAATCCCTTTAAATAAAATCCAACAAATCTACAATAACATTCCAATCTTTGGAAGTCAAATAGAAGCCCCTGGAAGTATACGAAAACCTCTGAAGGTTTCCTGTTTCCCTGGAGCACAAAAGACGGAAACACATGAAAAACGTTCAGTAGTAGCAGCATCCTCAAGATCAAGGTCAGAAAGCTCTCACAAAACTGCCTGAGAATTGTCATTGACCTCTACAAGTTGGAAGATGACTGTAAAAGAATCCACTTAAAGCTTAACCTACCACTTTCTAGTGTGATGTCCCTGGGGAAGGAAATTAAGACTACTCTTAGAGTAGTCACCTTTCCAGAAATAGAACACAAGTGTAGTCACCTCATCCGCAAAAAGTCAGTCCAATTGATTATTTGTTGTTCAGACCCAAGACAGCAAGAGACCAAAAAGGAAACTAAAGGGTCTGAAGGACCAAGATCAATTCTGTGTGAAGGAGTGGTTGTATATACTGTAGTATATGTGGTAATTATGTTATTCTTGCTCGTGGGATAGTAGTGGGAATTTATTTTTCAGCCACACTGGATGAAACCAATTGATGTGCTAGTGGAAGTTTGCTTTCAACAGCCGGCAAGCAGGACAACTGTCTGTGACTCGGTATCTCCGTGTCAGCAGGGGTGGCAGAGATGTCAGGGGCTCTGGGGATCAGCTGCTGAAAGATTATTCCAGACAGCAGCTTCAAACCCTTACAGTCTGCTACCTGAGAGACATTGCCTGTTCCTCTTCCCCTGATGTGAGTGAGGCACCAGCTAAGATCTGAATGGCAATATGTTGAAGTATTTTTAGAAAACTCAACCAAGATCTCCTGACATTTTGTCCAGCAGTGTGCACATACACACCCACAAATTCAGCAGCAGGAGGGCTGTGTTAATAGCGCTGACATCTCTCCTACATGAGCCCACACTCAAAAGCTGCAAGTATGATATCTATCTAGATGTGTTTTGTACCGTTTTCTTTTACAAAATTGTCTTACATCTTTCATACATTCAATTTCCCATTCATGTACCACAAGGCACTGAATTTATTTCGGACATGGTATATTTGGTACCAGTTGTTTCTCATCAGGGTACTGATTCTCTATATGTAAACTTTGATGTGCAACAGCTGTGCTCAAATACATATTCTATCCAATGCATTTTTAAAAGATCAGGTTCTAATAAATGGGAATTCAGTCTGTCTTTCTGTGGCAGCAGTAAACAGAAATTGCACGAATAAAATGCAAACTAAGAGAATAAAATATCATTTTCATTTTCCAACATAAGCCCTTACCTATATAAGTAATGTGCATAAGAATATTTTTTGTATTGATACTTAAGATGTCTGTACAACCAACGTTTTTCCTGCGACTTAACTAAAAATAATCTGATGCCATTTTTTAATTTTTCCTATTTGAATGAATATATTTTTAGAATCTTTATCTTCTCATTTGGGACAGGCGTTTGGATATGTACTGTACAGTATATCCATAGCTGGACATATCACTCCTGATGCCTGTCGATGTGTTGCTGAACATACATTCTGCACTCCATGTGGCAGATTTTATTTACTGTCAATTTAAAAAAATAGCCACATATCCATCTGTTTTAAAAGTACTGAAGCAAACAAGGGAGCAAGTGTATCAGCTGTTTTTCTTATTGTAGGCTTAGCTGTAGCATGGTTTTAGTGTAGGAAGTGTTTTGCTATTTCTCTGTTACTTGACACTTTGACTTTCCCCCTGAACTGAGCAGTTAATGCGTCAGCACAGCCTCTGGTGCAGAGAGGCAGCTTGCAGTAGCAGCCTCTGCTGTATTGATATGAAACTGTTGTCTTTATGAGCGCTGGTCTCACTTCTCTTGTGTCTGCCCCCACCAGTTGTCAGGGACATCAGTGAATTCTAACAAGCATATTAAATGCGACACTTGTAGGTCCCTTTGATTCTGTTTGCCAAGAGCTCACTTTTTATAAAAACATATTTCATTAAATGTGATACTAATTAGATTCCAATATTCAGCATGTGAACAACAAACCCAGGCTATTATGTAATTCGGAGGGATCAGTGGCCGCAGTTTATTTTCGGAGAATTGTTTTCTTAGACTTTCAGGGCTCTCTAATATGTACAGAGCAAAAGGAACAAGACGGTGGGAAGGGATTTGTGAATTTGTTGTTTTGCGTAGCAAAGTGAGAGCATTGAGGAGAACTCACCTTTACTAGATTGTTCAGATACATCCTTCCAGAGAGCTGGATCCTGTACATCCTTCCAGAGAGCTGGATCCTGTACTCCTTGGTGATCATTGCAGACCATCATCCCCGATGACGTGAGATATCCCAGGATTCCGAGACAATGACAACCCAAAGGCTTGGGAGTGTATTATCAGTTCTGAATCATTTTTCTGTCAGATGAATTTGAAAAAAATAAATGAGTTCCTGAAGCAAACTAGTTATTCACAGCTTGGTCATCATGAGATGTTCTAAAAAATACTTTCATATATGCGAATACTATAAATAACAGTAGAGCACCTTACATTAAGGAGGGAACCCACTTCATCCACCACCCAGTGAATGGTACTGTATGTACCCATTATCCACCTACATATCATCATCTGCTGCACAGCATAACAGGTGGAGAAGTGAGAAACTATTTCACTAAATGAATTAAGGGTGATATTTAAGTAGATTAGTGCCAGCCTAGAAAACAGCATGTTAAAATCCCTACTCTTATGAGCAGTGTCACTTTAATGACCTAATAGTTAGAACCTCAGCTGAATGTCTCATATGAAGACTAGAACCTCTTATAGCATTGGTCTGAAAAGGATGGTACCAAAGAAAGAGCCCTCCCTCTGGTCCACCAGCACCTGGTTTTTCTTAGAAGTCTCCAGTCCCAGTATTGACCAGGTCCAGCCTTCCCTGGATCTGGAGGTCTGAGTTCAGGATAGGAAGGGGTGATTCAGACCACAATACATGTGTACACTTCTGAGCTGGGCTTCCAGAAAAGGGAAACTGCTGTAGAGTACTCCTCCTGTCAACTGCTCCACTACTTTTGCTGATGGGCTTTGCTGGTGGTAATGACTTTTCTTTTGTCAGCCTTTCCTATCCCAGGCAGTACATTAACCTTTTAGCTCCCTTCATCTCAGGCAATGGCAGCAAGTGACACCATGAGAAGAAATGTGATTAACCTGCGAAAGACACAAATGTCACTCAATCAAACTGCACTTCAGGAACAGTCCCCACAGCGCTGTCTATCAGTGCCAGAGTGGAGAAATCAAAGCCTACAGACGATTCAGACTCTGAGCTCTCTAATAATAAAAGAATCTCCTCAGTATTTAGGAAAGCTGTCATTTAGTACTATAGGTCCATCTCCAACCCGAAGCAAGTAAATGATATACTGAGTCATATTCCTGATCTTCTCTATAGCACTGGTTCTGAAACTGGACTTCCAACGGTTCACTGGTACAGGTCTTTTTCAGACACGTTACTTTTTCAATGGCAACGCATTTTTGCCAGGATAATAATGCGTTGCAATGAGGTCTTTCACTGCCTCATTCTGTTAACTCCACTTTCCACACAAAAACATTTTACTTGTCCCACGTGCCCTCTGTCACATACTCAGGCAGATGACGCGTTCACATATGTCTGCAGACAAGCTGCAGAGCAGAAGTAAGTCATTGAAATTGTTCTGGCCACCTCAAGTTTGTTTTCTTTTCTCACTCCATTTTCCTGAAGGGTATCGTCCAAATCAGGACCTTTCGCCACCTTTGCCTTCAGATGTGGAGCCAATCTATAGTCCGGTTCAGAAATACTGCACACAATAGACCGTTTTTTTTCTCTGCGCCTGATCTCGCCATGAAGAAGGGGAGAGAGGACACAGATAAAAGGCTGACACTGGACTGTGAGGGGCTCCAGATGGCTGTGATGAACGCATTCTGCAGTGCTGCTGCAGGCGAGGTGCAGAGAGAGCAGCGGAGCTCAGCCAACCACATTACCTCCTCAGCTCCAGACATTTCCGCTCCCAGAGGAAAACAACATTTCTTCATGTGTGTCACCGTTTCAATATTTCAGCATGCGGTGTCGATTTATCCCACAGCATACGGATATTCCGTTATATCCATTAGATCCAATTCCAGAAACACTTAACATTGCATTATCTTTCCCAAAGATCGATGAAAAAAGGAGGTAAATTCTTCCTATGTGTTTCATGTTGTCCAGTAAATATTAGCAACAGCTATGTATGTTTATGTTATGACCTTTAGGTCACATATTTTCAAGGAAATTTTAAAGAAATTTGAAGGTTGCAGTGTTCAGACACGAATAGTCAATAGATTTTGAGATGTGAAATATTTTTCTTATATACTCTATATAATCTATATTATATATCTATATAATATACTCTATTCTGTTATTTACCACTTCTGCGACCAACTAAAGTAAGCAGTGATATAAATCTACATAAAAGGAGAATCATCTAGAAGTTCAAAGTAATCAGTCACTCTCCCTTGAGAATGAAATTCAAATTGAAATCTCGTTCTTACATTTTGATAAGCGTTATCAAACAAACTCGACATACTGTACATACATTCTTAATCTACAGCATTTGAAGGTGTTATGCCTTGTGCAAAGAGTAAGATCTGTTCTCCAAAAATGTTTTTATTCATCTCAGTCAATGAGCTTTTGATTAATATAAAGAGCATTTCAAGTTATATGTTCCTATGTAGTCTAACCTTTA